GAGAGGAGGGAGAGGAGGAGGGAGGAGGAGGAGAGGAGGAGAGGAGGAGAGGAGGAGAGGAGGAGGAGGAGGAGAGGAGGAGAGGAGGAGAGCGGAGAGGAGGAGAGGAGCGGAGAGGAGGAGAGGAGGAAAGGAGGAAGGAGAGGAGGAGAGGAGGAAGGAGAGGAGGAGAGGAGGAGAGGAGGAGAGGAGGAGAGGAGGAGAGGAGGAGAGGAGGAGAGGAGGAGAGGAGGAGAGGAGGAGAGGAGTATTCTATCTAACGTTTTGGTGTTTTTGATATTCTATCTATCGTTTTTGAAACGGGGTTTTTCTTTTTTCGGATTTTTCAATATTCTATCTACTTAAGGATGCCTATACTGCCAGAAAGGTTTATAGTCAATTTTATAGTGCTGCTGCGTGCCATTGCGTGCTTAGTGCAGTCCCTAAAAACATCCTTTACATAACACAGGTCTTGAATGAGAGGAGCTGGAGCAAACAGTCCGTGCTATCCCAGTGTGCTCTGACTCTGCACAGTGGCCAGATAGGCCTGAGCACATGGCCATTTTTGCCCACCTGGCACTGAGAAGTCACAGTCAGTGTGAGAAGCTGTGAGGACAGGGGCATGCCTATACCCCTAAACCCTAAACTCGAAAGCCTTTTGTTCACTTGTCCTCTATGGCATTTCCAAGTAGAGATGAGGGCCTTCTGGAGTTGTCCTGCCTGGCTTCAACTTCTGCTCGGTTTGGCTTTGCTAGCCCGACTCTGAGAAAGCCGTAGTGAAGCGGTAAAGCTGACACCACGGACCCATGGACCTCGTCTGGCATGCCCGAGTTGACAGAATGTAAACTCTAAACCCTAAACCCTTATAAACTGTACTATCCAGAGGCCCCAGAAGACTTTAACTTGGCCAGACGAAAGTGCCGTGGCTTGGCACATCTTTGCGCTTGTCGCGCTGGTGTGCTTCTTCGCGATGCTGAGAGCGCTCCACTCGTGCGCGTACAGTACACACCACTGGTAATCTAGACTCAACTAGTACGGCGGTGGAGTCCCATTTCTGTATCACTATACTAACTTGTGCAAGGTTCCAAAAAGGCTGGCGTCTGGAGTGCTTGTTCCGATTTTTAAAGGCTCCTCGGGCTATCGTCGTGCGCGAGCGAAGCATGGCAACAAAAGATGGATGCAGTGAGCACCTGCAAGTTCCAAGCACAGTCGCCTGCCTGTCATTGAACAACGGAAATGCCAACGCGCTTGAACAGAACCGTCGGCTCAGGTCCTCCGGTCTTGATCTGGAACTTGGGAGTGGCAGGCTCAGCTCACAGCTCCGAGTGGCCTCGTTCAGGAAAGCTAAGCATGAGTTCGGAATGCTCAGTTACGAGACATGTTCTTGAATGGCCATGTGACACTCAGCTGAGCCTGCAGGTCTGAGCAGTTGATTGCATTCTGATTTGTCCGGCCTTACAAATTCCCAAACCCCCGAGTAAGACCCCAAGGCCCCAAGGCCTGCGACGTGTCCCCAAGTCTTGAGTGAGTCAGGTAGAGTGTAGGGGGTGGACTTTCCGCCGGAGGTCAATTCCGGGCCGCTGCTGCTGGCAAGGCCGACTTCCGGTCGTCTTTGAGGCACCTGTTGGTTCGCTGCAAGACTCTCACCATGTAGGTATCTGAAGGAGTAGTTTTGAGTGTTTGAAGTTTCCAGAGACACGTGTAAGTTCTGGCATCTGTAATCATCGCAGCATTTCCCTAAGGGGTCCTAACTTCGTGCGTCCGAACGATGCAGTGGGACGATCGCCAGCAGAGTGTGCCTCAAGGGGCGCTGCTAGCTTTAGGTCAGGTTCCCGTCAGAGCGTCTGCGATAGTCTCTGCCATGAGAGTGAAACATAGATGAATCTTAGATGAACAGTTTTAATGTTCGACGTTTCAGCCAGCGCTCGGAGCATCCGTGGCATGGCGCCGTCCTTTTCTGCCTTGTTCGTTGCATCTTGGATTCTGACTCGAACAAGCGGCGCCCCAAGCTGGTGGCATTTTCTAGTGCAATGGATGATTTGCCAGAGATACCATTGGAAGGTTTGCAGTCATTGTCAGTGTCCCCAGACGAGTTGCCAGATATTCCACTATACACAGTTGACGTTGACATCTGCCCCGACATCCCACTGGAAGAAGTGCAAATTCGTCCCACAGCACGAGGAGGAGGCGGGCAGTTGCAGCCTCAGGCCCAAGCGATGATCTACCATCTTCACAAAACTTTCGAGGGCCACTTGGCGGAGGTTTGCAAAGTACTCGGATGGACGACTAAGATGAAGATGGCCGGCTTCCTTGCCAAAGCCACCGGGCTGTCGCGTGGTTGTCTCGAAAAACGACTGAAGGACCTGGAGTCCCGAGGAGGCATCCCACGGCAAATCATCATTCACAGCGGCCGGAAGAGGAAGTCAAGGGAGGTTGACGATGACGTCGACGAGGATAGCCAGAGCAACGGGCTTCCGGCAGATGTTCCCGCCGCAGCGTCAGTGTCAGCGACCAGCGCTACCTCATCGTCATCGAAATTGTCATTGACAGGCGTTGTTGAACCCGGAAGCTTTTGGGGCAGCCACCAGAGAGTTCGCTGCCCCTACAAGGGGCTTGGAATTCTTGACGAGAAGGGCCAGGAGCAGCTCGTAGGGCTGCGGCTCAGCTGCCTGGCTTTAGAGCTTAGCTCGCAGGGATCCTTGCATGGTTTTACTGATACCGTGAGCATGCTGGATGCATTTCTTCCTGGAGAGCTGGGCGAGAAGCAGCACTCTGCATGGTTTGCTCGCGGGATTGTTCGCGAGGCTGTGGGCTGCACTCGATTGCATGTCGCCTGGAGCTTGGATGGCCCTCGACATCCCGGCCGACATTTCTTTCAGCACCGATGGCACCACGACTGCTGCGGGTGAGACCTTGCAGGTGCAAATGCTGTGACTTGGGAGCGGAATGGCCGGCCGACCACGTATTTGCTGGACGCTGCAAATGCTGGACGATTGCAGCCTCGAGTGGGTGGCAGGGATGCAGAGGCAGATCAGCAGCCAGCTGCGCAGGATCGTGTTCAAGTAGTTGCAGCGAACCCTGAGGCAGTGCTTCTCGATCTAGTACAGGCAGAGGCTCCCCCAGCTCCCGCCTGTGCAGCAGCACCTGCGCCGCCATTGGTGGACATGCGCTCCGGTGCTAAGGCGGTGGAGACTCTAGTGGAGACGTGCGTGCGTTACGGACTGGACAAGCAAGACCTCGCCTTTGCGCTTTGCTGTCCACTGCGGAGATGGCAAGCTTGAAGGTCCATTTGGCTGTGGCATCGGTAACCAGCTGGCAGACGCACTCCCAATCGTGCGCAGGAAAGAGCAGGGCCAGACCCTTTTTGGGTCGTTGGATTGGTTCCACGCAGCCGAGAAGTCAGGCGAACACGCTGACAAATTGGAACAGGGTCCAGGAGGCTTTCTTCGCCTTCTCGGCCAGACAGCGGTGCGGGCCAGAAGATTCTTTCAGTTGGGGGTCGGCCGCGTGGTGCTGCGAGCCATTTGCTTGCCTTTCAGGAATTCATTTCCGTTCTACCCCAACATGTGGAAACAGTGAAGCATCAGTAGCTCCGTTCTGTACTGAACCGTGAGTAGTTACAGTTGGAGCGTGTTGGAGCGTTACTTGCAGGGTCGGTCGGTGGGTCGCTGTATTGTGTGGCATCTGAGGCAGTTGCAAAAAAATGCCAGCTGCCGCTGGTGGCACTGCTTGCTCCAGTGACTGCAACAACTCGCACTGTCACCTACAGTCTCACGAAAAGCTTCAGCCTGACTTGAAACCTGACATGGCTGATTGTAGACGCTTGCGCGCCCCGCCTCGGCAGCCGGGCCGGCCCACGGACAGGAAAGGAGGAAAGAAGGTTTCTGGTCAGCAAGCGAGAAGAGGGGGTGGAAGACCAGCAAGTTCCCAGCAAAGCTTTAAGGGGTTGCAGAAGGGGTACCAGGAAAAGTCTCAGGGGGTCCGAGAAGGGTCCCAGGGAGGTCCCAGGGGGTTCTCAAGAGGGGGGAGCCCGCAAAACCCCAACTTCTTCCTCCCAGGCGAAACCCCCCACAGCATCGGCCCGAAGCTCCTCCAAGCGATTGGGGGGGGGTTTCACAGGCCGGGGGGGGCGGGAAGATCCGGATCTGCTTGTTCCAGATGCTTCTCGACAGGAAGCCGAGGCGAATTTCGGCGAGTTTATTTCTCTTTTCCCCATCAACTTGTAGATTCCCTGCCTCCACCCTCAATATACCGAACCAGATCCCCCCATGACTGTGCTGCCGAGAACCTCTTCGTCAACATACCTGCCTTGGCGTATGGTGCAGCATTCTTGCTGACGGGGGCGGTGGAGAACGCCCGCCGCGAAATCCAAGAATCCGGGCCTCAAGTGCGGACTGAAGGGGCAGGACGCACAAAAAGCGAGGAACTTCGCACGCTTTCTGCTGTCTCCCACCATGTTGCTGTTCAACATGTTTCACTACGAGCATAGGCAGCGTCATCTGCTCTCCTGCGCTTTCCGCGGTCAAGAGCCGTACCCTCGCGAGTCACTGCTGGCGAAGCATGCAGGCAGACCGTCAAACATTTCAAGCTCTGAGCAGAACTGTTGGGTTTTGGTATAGTTTGCATGGCTATCTCGTGGATGAAGCTGATGCCGCCCGACCCGAATGTGCAAGCCGAGACTTCGCGACGACCATCTGGAACATTAATTTTGTTTGCGGTCGGCTGATTCTGAAAATGGCCTGGCGCCAGTATCCTGCATCAGTGCAACTACTGACGGAGTTTATGTTCTGCGCATCAGCTCGTGGCGTCGATCTGGGCATGAGACCTGAAGAGAACTCCTTTTTGCAGAGCCAGACGAGGCAGCCAAGCGCAAGACTCAGGACGGGGAGTGTTTGCTTTTGCTTCCGTGGGATAGAGCAATGAATATGAGAGTCGGGCATAATCTCGGGACCGGGAGTGTTGCTTCGGCTCGTGGCACATGATTGCTACAATAACAATAAGCAAACCTGTGGCAGGAGCAGATGTGGCAGGGCATTTTGACTTCGTGCAACAAAGCCTTTGCTCGTCTGAATGACTGGTGCAAGCGTGAGGAACACTTCCAGGTTCGCTGCCTTTGGCCTGATGCATCTGTCGAAGAGAAATCCCGGCAGTCGGCATTGACCAGCCAAGCCCTTGCAGCTGCAACGGCTCGGGTGGCGGATGCAGCAGACTCGTGCCCCAAGCAGACGGTCGTGACAGTGTCAGTGCCTGAGGCCGAGTCTGACGCTGACTCGTCGACTAGTGGCTCCAGCAGCACAAGCAGCAGCAATGAGGACAGCGAGGACGACGTCGGGACCAAGGCTGCTGAGAAGACTGGGTTGTCAACTCAAGACCGAGTCGCTTTGGAAACGAACATCCAAGATTGGGTAGGCAAGAAAGCTCCTGAGACCAATGTCTGTTCCAGTTCCAGCAAGCTTGCCAAGGCATTGTCCGTGTCAGTGTCAGTGTCGCGAAGTCTGGCAGTCAAACCTGATATCTGATGCTGCAAGGCCAATGCCCCGAACCGCCACAAGGGTCATGCTGTCGCTGTCGCTGAAGAAACAGGGCGGCGAGGTTTTCTGGCACGGCTGCGGTGAGAGCGAGTTGTGGATGCAGATGATGGCTGGTAAATCCATCCACGGAAGCACCGTGGGCCAGAGGAGCCAGTTGTCAGCATGCGCAGCGTGGGTCTTTTCAGCCCACGTACTGCTTCGTGAAGACCTGCTGGACGTTTCGCACGCTCTGCGGATTCTTTCTGAAAGCTTCGGGCCCCTTCTCTGGGGTCTTCCACAGTCGGCTGCTTCTCATTTGAAGGCCCCGCCTCCAGAGATGTTCCACTCGCCCTCGCCCGAGAACCTGCTCAAGCAGTACGAGGCTCTGAGGGACCTGGCAAGGAGAATCTCAACCGCCGCCGAGTACCAAGACCAGTTTGACGACTTGGAGGAGTGGCAAGAGTGGGATGAGAGGCTGCATGCTGCTTTGATGCGTAGCAAATACCAGCACTGCAAAAATTGCTGGCACGTGCTGCGCCTGTATCACAGGCTTTATGCGTGGGGCTTCAGTTCAGAGTCGGTGTGCGAAAGTGCAACATCGATCATGCGCTATGTGGAAAAGAAACATAGCGTGGGCCGAAGCTTCAAGACCCAGTCACTGGTGAACAGCACGCTGCTGCGGTTCTACGGTGTTGATGGGCGCCCTGAGAGCTGGCCCTGCGTGCTGAAGATCATGCACTCCTACTTCAGTCGCAGAAAACAAGGGGCAAGCTCGCTGCACTTCTTCGTTTGCCAGAAAACTCGGAGACGGCGACAGCTGCAGGCCAAAGAAGGTGTCTTGGGGCCCAGCCGCGCCTTGCAGTCCCATCGCGAGAAGGAGAGGCAGCGTGGCAGTCGTTTTCGATGGCTGTCAAAGGCGTCTCTGCTCTGGAACCCCGCAAAGAAGGTGTCAAAGTCAGTGATCAAGGGGCTTCAGATGGATGATACGAGAGAGCCTGACGATTTCTTCCCCGAGGTTTGGGACGTTGTTCTTCCGGCCTTGCAGAATCTGACCGCTGCAGCGAGCGCAGCAAAAGCCTCAGTTTCGGCCTCAGGCAGTTGGATGGCAGTTGGCATGTGAAAGCAACACCTGCGGATGCGGACGTACCCTAATTGGTAGCCCATTACCTATACTATACTATTTTGCCCTGAATCCTAAACCCTAATTAGGCCCCCGAAGCCCTAAACCCCTAAATCCTAAACCATCGACGCCCCCCGGAGTGGCAGTGGCCACAGTATACATTCGCAGAGCGACTCACAAAACAGAAGCTACACCAAACCCTAGACTCCCGCCAATATCCGTAGAAAAACCCTAAACCATAGGCTGGCCCTCAGCCTCTGTGACTTAGCCGAACGGCGCAAAGCTCTTTAAGCCAGGCGGCGGCGACGACTGGAGTGCCCGCCCCACTGGCACCGGTCGGATGAAAGAAAAGAGCGCTCCGACTGCCGGCTCTGCCCCATGTGGAGCAACTCATGACGACTAAAATCTAAGTCAATCTCTAACCCAGCCATTCAGAAGGGTTATATTCAAACTATACCTCCCTATATCTTGCCAAGTGCTCTTTCATTTCCGGTTAGGGGGTGGCCAAAACTTGCAACCCGGCGCGGAGTACTACTACTACTACTACTACTACTACTACTCCTACTACTACTACTACTACTACTACTACTACTACTACTACTACTACTACTACTACTACTACTACTACTACTACTACTAGTACTACTACTACTACTACTACTACTACTACTACTACTATTACTACTACTACCACTACTACCACCACTACCACTACCATTACCACTACCACTACCACCGAGCACAGGCACGCATCCAAATGCTCACGCTGCCTAATCGAAATCCCCGTCCGCTAAACCCCTACAACCCTACAAACCCTACAAACCCTACAAACCCTACAAACCCAACAAACCCTACAAACCCTACAAACCCTACAAACCCTACAAACCCTACAAACCCTACAAACCCTACAAACCCTACAAACCCTACAAACCCTACAAACCCTACAAACCCTACAAACCCTACAAACCCTACAAACCCTAAACCCTAAGCCCTACCCTCGACCCCAAGCCCTAAACCCCAAAACCCTAAAACCCTGAACCCTGAAGCCTTGCCAGTAACACTGCCTTCTGTGATTCTTGGGTTGGGGTGAAGAGAAACACTGACATGCTTCACATGGCATCCAGTGAAAGATTCCTTAACCCCCTACCCTAAGCCCTAGAAACCTAACCCGCCTGCTGCTGCAACCCAGGAACGTGTCGCGCATCCTGAAGGCGGCTACTCCCAGTTGCTGAAGTCGTTGCGTTTTCCTTTTTTCAGCAGCAGACATTGGGGGGAAGCTTTGTTGTGAGGTCGTTGCGTTTGGGTGTGCCCCTGGGGGAAATGTTTTTAGTATTATCATTGTCAATGCCGTTTGCGTAGATTATTTAGATCAGGCAACGCTAGCAAAACCCCATGTCGAACTCTCCCTGCGGCTAAAGCCTGAACTCTAAACCTGCAACCCTCGGATGCGAAGTAAGCGCTCACTCAGTGGGTTGAAGGTTCGGGAAATGTGATTGAAAAATAATGCACATCCGCCAGACGAGTGAACGTGGGCCATTCTTGGCATTTGGGGGCCCGGGGTATCGTAGAGGTATCGTTGAGGTATCGTTAGGGGTATCGTTAGGGGCGCAGTCCTCCAACCAGATTTCACCAACCTTAAGCCACGAGGGAGCGGATGGCATATGGAAAGAATCTTTGCCGGGTGGCAAGTGTCCGGGTTTAACCCTAAACCCTGTACCCTGCTTAAACCTAAAGCCTACACCCTAAGGGCCTAAACCCCAAACACTAACGCTTAACCTAAACCCAACACCGCAGAAGAGGGTTCGGGAGAAGCCGTCGAAGAATCAGGGCTGAGTGCATGGGGAACTTCCGTATTGCGGGACGTTGTGGTGATTAGTTGTTTAAGATCTTTACTGTTTTTTTTTAAGGCTTTGGGGGGCGTGTGGTGAGTTGGTCTGCAAGCGTGTGCCACTGGGAAAATGGGGTCTGTGTTGGGCATTTGTTTACGTTTCGGGGCATGCAGTGCGCAGTGGTCCGCGGACGTGTGCCCCTGCAGAAACAGGAAATGCAAGGACTTTGCAGGGACCCCCCTCGTTGCGGGTGTGCCACTCGGGGAATGTATAAGAAACACCAGATGCAAGGACTTAGTCGCTTAGGAGTATGTGTCCGAGTTCTTCTCCTGGATTCGTTCTAGGGTTTAGAGTTTAGGGTGCAGGGTTTAGGGTGGAGCGCATGGGTGTTGGGTTTGTGGACGTCTTCGGGCTTGTGCCACAACATCTTGTCAGAGTGTATTCTTGTTATTGTTATTCTGATGTTGTAGTGAATGGAGTATGTGATTGAATGGGCTATTGGTATGATGATGCTGATGATGATGATGACTGGTGTACTTGCTCTGCAGCTTTGGAAGAGCTTTGCCAAGCAGTGAAAGCCATTGGACGGCTGGATCTCTTTGTTCCGATTCCGGGCTTCGGGTTTAGGGTTTTTAGGGTTTAGGGTTTAGGGTTGAACTCGAACATTTTTTCTGACAAGCCATGACTCCAGTCGCGGCGTAGCCTAAACCCTAAACCCTTTTTGAATGTTTGTTTTTTTTCAGGGTCCGGGGGGGTTGGCGGGAAGCCTTGCACGCCCTTGAACGATTAGACCCTAAACACAGGCCTTACACAAAGAGTTGAAACTGAAGCCCTGAGAAGTAGACTAGCCCTTACATGGAGTAGGGGTTAGGGTCTAGGTTCCGGGTTCCAGGACAGGGTCTCAGGCTTCAATTAGGGTTCAGAGCTGAGGGGTTGACGAATCCGAAGTGGGAGGCACTGAAGGAGTTGGACGCCGATGTCATCGCACTCCAGGCGGCCAATTCAAAACGACCACAGTCTTCCTAAATCCTAAACCCTAAACTCTAAACCCAGGGGTGTCGGGTGACCCTTTTCGGGGACTTTAGGGTTGAGGTGGATGGGGTGGAGGTGGAGACTTATCCCAGACTTCAGAAGGTTGAGGCCTTCGACACCTCAAGACTCTTAAGTTTCAGGGTTTTAGATGGGTGAGGTTCACGGTTTGGGGGATTTAGGAGACTTAGAGGTTACTCTAAACCCTAAACCCTAAACCCTCAACCCTAAACCCTAAACCCAAAACCCAAAACCCTAGGTTTAGGCGGTACCTGAGCCCCATAACGCCCAAAGTGTTATGGGCTCCCAGCTTGAGGACAGAAGGCGCAACATGCACCTTCAGCTTAATTTACCTTAACCGCGAAACCCTAAACCATATACACCCTAAACCCTAACCTCCTGGGTTTGCATAGCCAAATAATTATTATGACTCAAGCTACCCCCACTCATAGCTCCTGTTTAGGGTTTCTGTTTTGTAGGGGTTCTTATTGGGGTATCTGCGGGCTATATTAAGGTATAAGGGTAACAGATAAAGAGGCCACCGGCCTTTATAAGAACTACCCATGAACCGTGCAGACCAGGAGGTTGGAATTCCGGATCACCTCGGCAAGACTGGCAGGTCTGGGACCTTCAAGCTTGCGGGGTTTGGGCCTAAACCCTAAACCCCAAACCCTAAACCCTGAACTCTCAAGACCCTGAACCCTGAACCCTGAACCCTGAACCCTGAACCCTGAACCCTGAACCCTGAACCCTGAACCCTGAACCCTGAACCCTGAACCCGAACCCTAAACCCTAAATGCTATGGGCTCAAAGGGGCTTCCATGGAAACCCCGTTTAGGGCTTCGGATTCGGGCATGCAGACCCTGAACATTTCTGAGGCCTCCAACAGTGCGGATCCTAAGCTTCAAACGAGGTCTAGGGTTTAGAGGGTTTAGGGTTTAGGGTTTAGGGTTTAGGGTTTAGGGTTTAGGGTTTAGGGTTTAGGGTTTAGGGTTTAGGGCTTCAGAGTGTCCGGAACTACTCAGCCGCAGGTTGCAGAAGCCGGGGAGGGAGCCCCTTCCCACTCCCAACCCCCATGGAAACAAGTGCGGGTTTACGAAAATAAGGCCCCCTATAATGAATATTCGACCCCAAAGAGTAGGATTCCCTTATAATCAGGACCATGACCGCCTAATGAAGATAGTAGGATTCCCTTAGAATCAGGACCACAAGAAGGTACCCCCTAACTTCGGAGGCCCCTATGTGCCTGGGGGCTGCTGAAGGTCGAGGTTTTGAGGGTTTGGAGGGCTTCGGGTCGAGGGCTGAGGGCTTTCCAAGCAGGGGGGCGCCTGGTAAACCTTCAGCTCAAAAGCCACGGACCCTAAACCCAAAACCCTAAACCCTAAAAGCAGAATCTAGGGCCGACGCCAGGTGGTCTGCAAACAACGACGACGTGCTGCCCAAAGACGAGTTTTGGTCGCCCTGGGGCAGCGGGGGATTTAGGGTTTAGGGTTTAGGGTTTAGGGTTTAGGGTTTAGGGATTGGGTATTTTCATCCCTAAACCCTACTTCCTCCGACCTTGAATCCTCAAACCTGAACCCTCAACGAAAGTATGCCCTCTTTAGCAGGGTTTGGGGAGGAAGGGGGGGGTTTGAAGGGGGTTGAGGGCTTTAAAGCCGCCAGGGTTGAGGGCTGAGGGGTTGGTGGGGTTTTGGTTTTGGGTGTTGGGCTACAGGGAGGAGCTCGCCTACAGCTTTCCCAGAAATCCGAGTTTAAGGTTTAGGGTTTCGGGTTTAGGGCCCTTTTAGGGTTTCGATATGAGAGCGTTGCAACGACAAACTCGTCTAAAGCCACCGACAATTCCCAAGTGAGCAAGGCGACCGATTGCCTACAGGACGACATCGACAAGCATACGACATCGACAAGCATCCCGCCAGCGCAGGTTCGAGCTCGGGTGCGCGCGGGCTCTACCGGCAGGGCACCCTACCCACCGTGAAGGGGCGCAAAAGCAAAGCTGCAAGTGCTACCTTCCATTGTAGTCTCCCCCCAGAACTAAACCCTACACCCTAACCCTAAACCCTAAACCCTAAACCCTAAGCCCTAAACCTTAAAACCTTCAATTGATAACTCGGCCGAG